AGGGTTAAAGCAGTCAGGTCACATCAGTGCGCAAGGCCAACCTGAGGAGAGGGGGTGGGGGTGGGGGGGGGTGGATGGAGAGGGGGGAGGTTGACCTGCTGATTTAGCCTGCAAAGAGTCAATGTGAACGAGTCTCTGAGTGCACGTCTTCATCTTCTCCTTCTGGGAACAACTGGAGGGTAAAACATGCAACTTACGTCCAATCAAACCGGGACTCACGTTAAATAATCACGTCCACACGTTTCAAGCAAATCCACGGAACTAGTAACTGCAGAGTGGACAGGTGTTAACGTCCTGGAAACTGTGAAACACCGTGGGTCAGTGCACAGTAACATATCTTATACAGATGGAATTGTTTTTATTTGTTTTGGGGTTTTTTTTTTTGGAAGTGCAAGTTTATTTTCAGCCACATGCATCAAATTATTTTGGATCTGACTCTGCAGAAATGATTTATTTGTGCTGCTCGCGGTTGTGTAGCCTGTAAAGCCCTGAGCTCTCCACAGTGGGTGGAATACACAGCATGGTGTGGTGTGATGCTCAACACAGCAGCTGTGTTTATCCCAACATTTCTTGCTATGTTATCATGTTGCTGCAGGGGGGGGGGGGGGGGGGCTGAAGGCTGAGTTTAAAGACTTAACAACTTTTGCCTTTTAGGAAAATGAATGAGCTTGTTTCCTGATTAGTATCCACTTGTTGTGTGGTAGATTAAACAGCGCTTCATGTGTGTTCTTGTGTGTGCAGGTATTGTGTTCCATCCACACCTGCACATCTGTTTGCAGATGTTGCCTCGTGTGTGTTTGTGAGAAGTGTGCGCAGCGTCACTCAGCGTCAGATCCACTAGTGACTATAGGATGCGAGATTAGCCACCGTCCTTCAACCGAGGACTCGGGTTCAAACCTCAGCGTCTCATAGTCTGCATGAATAGTCTTAAGTGTCCTTGAGCCAAACACTGACGAGCCACCATCTCTTGTTGTTGTTGTTGTTGTTGTTGTTTGCTGTTCTGCACAGGAGTTGACCCCGTGCTCTAATTTCCCCCAGAAAGAGACAAACAAGGAAGAAAAGTGGTGCATTGTATTATTATTATTATATGCAGCCATTTTTAAAAAAATTATAAACAAAGCTTCAAATGTAAAAAAAAGAAAGAAGAGTGCTGGTTTCCTTCAGCAAATTCTTCCAGCTGAAGGAGAATGAACCAACATGAAGTGTTTCTCACAGCAATAATGAACTTAAGTTTCGCAGCGGCGTGCGTTCTGGCCCACGAGTGACTCCACGCTGAACGTACACCCGGTGATGGAGGGGAATATGGATCAAAGGAAGCATGTGACTGGTTGCTGAGCGCTGTAGCACTGGTAATCCTGTTGTGAGACTGGCAAATGGGATTAGGACACAGTGTGTAAGAGAAACAGAGCCGGGGGACGACTGCGAGGCTTTTACATTCACGGCTTTATCTTCACATTTTCACTTAATTTGGCGTCATCACTTTGACACTGCCCCCCCACCCCCCCCCCACCCCACCCCACCCCACCCCCCCCGACACACACCCTCCTCTTCTATATGGACTTTGAGCATCTTTGATAGGCTGATGTTGTTTGACTGAATCAGCCAAATGTGGATATTTTGTGCTGATATCATGAATATTTTTAAATGATAAGGAGAAAAAAAAAGCACCAGTTTTATTTTATTTTATTTTATTTTTTATCTGCAGGGCGAAAAACCAACTGAAGCATTTAGAGCATTTGGCACCAAAACATTAGCAGTGCTTTAAGGCAGTGTGACCCACCCCGGCTATTCAGCAGAAGGCTAAAAGTGCCTTTAAATGAAGAAGAATAGACAGTTTGATATCTGCGAGGAAAAGAATATTCCCTGTGTTTTCTCACATGTGCGCCAGTCCTCAAGGTTTTTTTTTGCCATTCTGCTTTACATTTACATTTTTTTCTCATCTTTTGTCTGCACAGTGAGAGTTAGAGCAAACACAACTCCCATCGAGTGAGTTAACGCATCATTGATAACAGGGTTCTCTGCTGCTTATTGTCCAACCACCTGACCCCGACAGGAAGAGGAAACGTTCAAGTAGCCTCATGAAACGCTCTCACCACATCCATCTTTGTTTGCTGCTAATTTCAAGCTAGATTTGACGCTGTGCTCTTTTTTATTTATTTTTATTTTATTTTAAATGACAAACCATTAAAATGTAGTGAAATAACAGATTTCTCTTCAGCATCATTTGAACAAATCAACCAGCAAAACAAAAACATTTAATAAAAAGCCAATATCTGCCTTACTGAGCACATGACTGCACGCACAACTGCATTAGTGTTATCTTCACTGACTCCCCACCTCCTGGTGTGTTCAGGGTCTAGTGAAATGAGAGGCATTAACTTGGCTGTCCGCTCGTCTCGAACTGACCCTGCGTCCCTGATGGGATCTTCTCTTCCCACAATACCACCGCTGCAACCTGCCTTCACAACTCGTGCTGCCCTGCAGCCACATCTGCTCCACTTTTCCACCTCTACCATTAGATTGTCGTGCAGAGGCAGTGACTCTGAGTCTGTGTGTGTGTGTGTGTGTGTGGTTGCACGTGCATGTGTTGCGGTCTTAAAAATCTCGAGTCGCCGGTTTATTTTTCTGTGGATCGACCAACTGATTAATCGACGGGTCAGGGAGCAGAGGCGGAGCAGGAGGAGCGTTGCCACAGCTTCTTGGATAAAGTTTAGACTTGATTTGTGTTTGTCAGGATTCTTTCATCGAGAATTTGAAGCCTTTCTTTAAAAAATAAAAATAAATTCTCACACGATCAGGATGCTTCTCACAAACATGTCAGCCGAGGTGACAATCGTGTAGTTGGTATTTATTTCCTTGTTAATTATTAGCACTGGGTAATGACTTTGCCATTAAGAAGTAACAGCAAATCACTTCCAGCAGGATGTGTGGTGGGCTGTTTTTCATTTTTAGCTATATATGGAGGGATGGGGGGGGGGGTAAAATGAGAAGTGGAGAATCTGTGTGGGTTGAAAGAGGTCACTGCATGCCAAAGCAATTACCTTCATCGTCCAGGACCCTGCCAATACTCTGCGTTGAGGAGAGAGGGAGAGAGAGGTCAGAGGAAATAAATATAGGTGCGGTCCAGCTCTGTTTTCTAAACGTCTGAAATGTCATTTCTGAGTCAGTATCATCCCCATTTGTTGCATAAATTTTCCGGCGAGCTCTCCAACTTCACAATATTTATTGAAGGAATTTGCTGAAGTCGTTGTTATATGTCAAAACCAGACGAGATAACGCCGGCGATATTATGAAGTCTGTGTAATTGCTTAACTGCTCGGCGCTGCCAGGATGTTTTGTGACATGAAGAACATCATCTGTCAGGAGCTGATGCTTTTCTCTCGCTTTGACAAGTCTTCATGTTCTGGCATCTTTTTTGGAAGGAGGGGAGGGAGGGAGGGAGGGAGGGGCGGATACTGAGGAGCGTAGGGCTGCGGAGGTGTCTGGGTGACAAGGCGCGCCGAGGGCGTCTGGGGCGGTGGGGTGGAGAAGATGAAGTGGGTGGAGGGGGAGGCGGAAGGGGAGGGGCTGAGCGGGGAGTGTGTGTGCACGGCGTGGTTGTGAGAGTGTGTGTGAGCGTGGGGGTGGGGCTGAGAGTGCGAGATGGTTAGTGGGAGCTTGGTGCCTCCACCCGGCCGGCCCACCACGGGGTGCGAGTGGTAGAGTCCGTGTGGGGTAGTAGGGGTGACGGGGGAGTGTGGGGACAGCGGTGGGGGTGTGGTGAAGCCCGAGCCCATGTTGTACCGTGGGTGCTGGGCGGTGCCATGTTGCATCCTCTGAAGCTGCTGGGTATGAGAGGGAGCGCAGCCGGGCGGGCCC